TATTTCGATTCCGGCTGGGCGCATTTCTTTGTTTGAATATCGTTCCGGGATTAATCTTTAAAAGATCGAGCTAAGAAAAGTATAATATCCGCAACCTAAAGCTGCCAACCTGTGCTGTTTCTGTGAATATTTTCATGACAATTGCTCGGATGAGCTATTCATCATGGTACCTAGACTTTATGAATTTTAAGCGTAGTACTAGACTTGCGATGCGGTCTCACCAATTTACAGTCCAATTGGCTAGATATAACCGTAAGTTCTATGAAAAGTTTTTTCTCTCGCACTTCTCGAGTGTAAAACTGCTCTGTTCTTTCCAGCCAAGTTTAATCTTCAAAAATTTAAATGTAATGTCAATCGCTTCCTACTGTCCGCGTGATTACTATTCTTTTGTTCTCGCTCCTTAGTAAAGAGAAATATTTACTAATTCTTCCATATTCAATACTGTCCTGGGTAAGACGATAAACTACATCCGTGTCCTGGGTAAGACGATAAACTACATCCGCGTCCTGGGTAAGACAATAAACTACATCCGCGTCCTGGGTAAGACGATAAACTACATCCGCGTCCTGGGTAAGACGATAAACTACATCCGACAGCAAAGCCTTTGATCAGGTTCCTAGCTATGGGTAAATTGTTAACCCCCTCAAATGGGGTCAAAACACTATGAAAGTGTAAAAATAGGTCTTAATACCAGAAGTACTTTGCAAAAAAAATTATTACCAGCAATAAATCTTTTGAAGAAATACATTATAACCAGCAATACATTTTAGTCACCCCCCCAAAAAAAAAACAAAAAAAATACAAAACAAATACTACCAGCAATACTTTTTTTGGATAAAATATTACCAGCAATTGATTTTTTGAAGGAAAAAACATTACTAGCAATACATGTTTGAAAAAAAAATATTACCAACAATAAAATTTTTTGTCGGCATTAAATAGCCTACTGAGGTTGAGATGCCGTAAACCAAACCAAACCAAACCAAACCAAGCTAAACCATACTCAGTAACCCCCCGTGTCTTATTGGCTATCCTGCTTTGCTTGGGGTGAAATAGGTGAAAAAAAAAAAAATGAAAATCTTTTTAGATATTTTTCAAAACGATAAAGAATTGAACTATGAAATTCTCATACAAATGCAGTCAGGTTTTATTTTCTCTTTTACTTGTAATAAAATAGAAAATTAAAACCGAACAAAAAGAATCGAATAAGAAAGGTTAAATAATTTGTGTTACGTAATCTACAAACAAAACCTAAAAGGAATGAAAACCACGAGTCAAAGAGAAATATCGTGTGACCTACTGACAGAAGGGAAAACGAATTAAGGTCATAACACAAGATCTATGCACTTGTTACAACAAACCAGATGAATGTACACATTGATTCAAAAACAAAAATGTCTGACTGAGGTACATAAAAAATAAACACAATGTCTTACTTTTTCTAGGTTTCCTTGATGAAACAAAATGCCTCACCGAAGTCGGAGACAAAGGTCTCGTTTCCACTCAACTAATAGCAGTGATCCAAATGTCCGCTCTCAACATATGTAAACTTCAGGAAAAATAAGATGTCAATTCTTCAACGAACAAAAACAAACCACTTCTAAAAGCAAGTTTTTTGTAAGGGGGTGAATTCACATGTGACCAATGGACACGTGATTCATAAGCTCCGCCATCAGTCCAGGGGAAGACAATTATTGTATCGCTACGTTTAAAACAAGTCAGAAACTCTGGCATTTTTATGACTGGTAAAAAAGAAAGGATTCTATAAAATATTACTAATGAAAACCTTACTATTCAAAAATGTACGATAATGTTATGAGTGGGTGAGAACAGTAACACAAACAGAACTGTTAAAAACAAACTGTAAAAACAGCAACAAATATAAAATAACCAAAACAGTAATTATCGATATGTCGAGCTTATTCCTATGGCGCAAAATAGACATTACATAGGCTACGGCCGGGATCAATTAGAATAACTTGCGAGATAAAAAGGAGCATGCAAGCCCCTTCTATCTCCATCTATCGCTATCTCTATATCTATATTTCTATCTTTGTCTCTATCTCTATACCTCTATCTCTTTCCATATCTATATCTCTATCTATCTCAATCTATCTATATTTCTATCTCTATATATCTCTATCTCTATCTATATCTCTATCCATCTCTATATCTCTATCTCTATATATCTATAACTCTCTCTGTCTATATAACTCTATCTTTATCTATCTATCTATCTATCTATCTATCTATCTATCTATCTATCTCTATTTTTATCTTTATCTATCAATCTATCTATCTATCTATCTATCTATCTATCTTTATCTATCTATCTAGCTAGCTAGCTATCTATCTATCTAGCTATCTATCTCTATCTATCTATCTATCTATCTATCTATCTATCTATCTATCTATCTCTATCTTTATCTATCTATCTATCTAGCTAGCTAGCTATCTAGCTATCTATCTCTATTTTTATCTTTATCTATCTATCTATCTATCTATCTATCTATCTATCTATCTATCTAGCTAGCTAGCTAGCTATCTAGCTCTATTTTTATCTTTATCTATCTATCTATCTATCTATCTATCTATCTATCTATCTATCTATCTAGCTAGCTAGCTAGCTAGCTATCTATCTAGCTATATAGCTATCTATCTCTATTTTTATCTTTATCTATCTATCTATCTATCTATCTATCTATCTATCTATCTATCTATCTATCTAGCTAGCTAGCTAGCTAGCTAGCTCTACATAAGACCCGAAGACAGACGATGCGACGACCATAAAACAAAAAATGTAATGGTAATATTAACGAATTTTTCATACTTATTCACTGAGAAGCCAGTGATACTTTCGATTGAAATTTATAAAATATTTCTATTATATACAATTTTTTGCAAGTTTACTTACTGTTATAGTTCTTTCCAGATTTCATAACGGCTTCTTTCTTAACTTTTCACTTGAAAGGTTTACGGGAATATTACGTTTGAAACACCAGTTATCGTACGATTACCGAAGTAAGTAACGTCAAGCTTATTTAAAATGTTGACCTATGTTCGTTATATTCCCTTACTTACTTGCTAATGTTATGATCCACCTCTTCTCCCCTAGCTATATTTTAATTATTAGGATTAGTATCACTCAACCATTATTATCACCCCCGCCCAAATTCTTACAATCTAAAATATTTTCTATCTTTAAATAACCTGTAAAAGGGTGATAAACTGTAAAAAATCAATCAATAAAAACTTTCGTCTGCATCTTTATGATGATACTATTCACTTTTCAAGTTATATATGCTATCCATTTTAGTTGATACCGCTGTTGAAAGTCTTGAGAGATGAATATGCTTTGAGTCAAAGAATAAACAGAGTACGAATACCGCTATGAATTAATTACTAACTCTGAGTCAAACCCCTCGGCCAGGCAGTGCGTATATACTTGGATTCAGCTGAAACTGAGCGAGCAATAATTGGACAGTTCTAAATAAGAACTAGACAAGATGTTCGTAGATATCGTCAGCGAAATGAGAAGAATTTACAAAGGTAGTTTAAATAAAGTGTTCCGTTCGAAATTCCCTGAAAGTTAGACTGATCGACAAGCAGCTGATGAAAGCCGGAAGAAAGAAAAAAAAACGTTGTGATAATAAAAACAAAGATGAGAACAGTGCCGTGTCTCTTCAGGATGTAGGCGATTATATATCTCCACAACTTCCTATCTTTGTAGACCTTCAATCATAATAATTATTAATAATAATGATTTATTGCCTTATTGTTTTTTTTTATTGTTATATTTTTAAATCGAGTTCACCCCAAGCAATGCAATAAAGCCACTAAGACAGAAAGGGGTTACTGGGTGTGGAAGAATTAGAAAACAAACATTAGTAAGGAGCAGGAACAAAGAAAGAATAATCAGGGGGGGAGTAGATAACGATTGACATTGCATTTAAATTTTTGTAGATTAAAGCTCACTGGAGCATGGAGCCAAAAGTTTTACAAGTGAGAATTGCGAGAAAAGTAACGGTTATATCTAACCAACTCAACTGCAAATTGATGGAACATTGTCGCTAGTCTAGTACTGCACTTAAATTCATGACTTCGCCATTATGAAGACCGTTTCCGAGCAATTAACGATGAAAGTATTTTTTAGAAAAGGCACAGAGAAGCCACTTTATGGCGGTGGGAAAGTTTTCATGCCGAGACGCCAGATCCAAACCAATAATATTGCTGATTGTTTTGAGGATTTTAACAAGAATCTCCAGATGGCAGCAATATTCTAAACAAGGTTAATATATAGATGTTTCTTTTGGTAAGTTAAGATGGTAAAGGTAATATTTGCTGTTTCTTTATAAGTAAACTTTCGGCATTTATTGACCGATATACCAGTACTGCCGTCTTTTGAAATTTATAAAATCTTTCTCTTGAAACATTTTTTAAGAAAAAAATAGGTTCTTCAACGTCAGTAGCGGTCATCTCTCTTTTCACTAAAAAAAGTAGCTGTCCTTGACTTTTTATTTGGAATGTCAGTATTTTCATTGTCATAATTTTCCCTTCGAGTTACACGTGACATCTATTTTTGTTGTTGCTAGTGCTCAAGTGTTGTGATTTCTGCTATTTGGTACAGTTCTTTGTGGTTATGGAGCGACAAAAAACTGAACGGGTTTGGCACCATGTATGACATCCACATGAAAGTCTCTCTCTGAATGAAACTATAATTACCTGTAGCACAGGCTATTCTAGGTTCAATTTTCTTATCTCCGATACTAAGTTTGTTATACCTGATCCATACTTAGACTGGTCTATATTAAATACCCCGTGCAGTATCATAGATTTGCCTTTAGGTGAGATGCATATGCCTGGTATATCGTTACCAGACTGAGTGCAATGGTGCGTATATTGGACATATATTTACACACTAACATGACTTTGTTGGCGTACTTCAATCACTTCATTACGCTTTATTACATTACACGTGATTCCTATGGGTTCTAGAGGCTTACGGCCATATATTGAAACACCGGTTCCCGTATAATCACCGAAGTTAAGCAACGCTGATCATGGTTAGTACCTAGATGGGCGACCGCTTAAGAATACCAGATGCTGTTAGCTTGGGTGTGAGGATGACGTAAAGGATAATAGCTCGGAATTGTTAATCGGAGAGCCGAGTTCCAATTCCCGTCGGGTTCGTTATGTACACTTCCGTGCAAATACCTTTCTCCTCCCCACTCAGCTTTGGATTAAATTAGTAGGACTTGTATTAATAAAATCATTACTATTTCCAAAAATTTCTTATAGTCAAAAAACACTTTGTGGCTTTTAATAACCTGCGATGGGTTGATAAAGCGTAATAAATGAATAAATCAATCAAAGAAAAGTTTGCGAACGAAGTCCCCATTAATACTAGAAAGACTGATAACAGTTACTGGACTCGAGAAAAATGTTTCAATTGGGTCCTGCCATTGGATCTAACCAACGCCACTGTGCCATGTGTCCTTAAGGACATTTGTATATGAATTTCTGGGACTTATGATCTTAATGTCTTCACCACCGATTTTTACCAGTGCTCGTATTGCAATTTTTTGCTGTTATCATTGTATGTTTTTACCAGAGCTCACATTGCAATTCTTGTTGTTATTATTGCTTTTCTCTGACACTCCTTATTACTGGTTCCCATAATGTATTCATTTCTATGTTGATCGGCTCAGGGGATTTTTGTGGCCTAGCATATGTGCTGATTTGTTAAGTTTATGAATTTTCCAATGATGTTCTTTGTCTATGATTTCAACCTGATCCCACAGAGTGCGGTGATCTCCCTTTTCTCTCCATATGTGGTTACCCACGCCTGATTTTTCCACTTCCCCTCGTGCAACAGCTTTTTCGTGTTCAATACCTGGTTAAGGCAGTGGAGAACTTGGAGAGGTGAATTAACAGGAGATAACATAACTGACACCCATTAGACATGGCACGTGGAATTAGAACAGTCTACCCCAGCGAGCGAAATAAAGGATTCGGTTCGACATTCCAGCCACATGAAGAAGGCCGGATTGTACAACGGCGAAAACGTTGTGATAAATATGGCAACAAAGATGCGAACAATAGCCCGAATAATGTAAATAGGATTAAAAGAGTTAAGAACTATTGGGAGTCATAGAAGAATAAAGTTCTACAGAGAGAACTGCATAGTACTAGGGATATACCAAGAAAACAGTTAGCATCAAATGGAATTGAACTGCAACATAGTACGATCAGAGCATTAGTAATAAAACAACGTTATAAAGAGTGGTGGCATGCTACCGGTTCGCCGAACCGATTCTTAAAATTATAAAAGCTTATCAAACCAGTTATTGGATTATCCCAAAATAAACTTATATATTAAACTACCTATAATAGCTAAAAATATAATTAATACCATTCCTGTTACCTTTTGCGGAGGGTGAAAGAGGGTTTTCTATGATAAACATAATTTATTTTGACAAAAGAAATCGTCTTGAAGATAAAAATTTGGCAAATCTTCTAGTAATGAATTTGATAGGTCTTCCTTTGAATCTTTGGTACTGTAGCGATTCAATTTGAATGTTGCTAAGAAACCATAAACACAGCTGATGATACTAGAGTCAAAAAGCATCATACTTCTGAACAGGAATATGATTAGAACAGAATTTCAATCTGGAAATATCTTAATAAAGAAATGTTTTCTATTATCAAAATAGTTTAATTTTGATAATGTAAAGAGATTTGTTTCCATTCTCAGATTGAAAGGAAAATGAGCAGAAAGATTATCTGCCTCTTATAGAACCGGTTCCTGCAAATTTCGAATGCCATTGTTGGCTATAAATAACATGATGATCGAGTATGGAACTTAAGAAGAATTGAAGGTATACTGGCACTTTGTTTCTAAATAAAGATAAAATACTGGAATAAAAAAATCTGTCTGGAAAACAATACAAAATAAGACAAACCTTTTTTTTTTTTAATTCTTGTCTGTTTTTGCGGATTTTATCTACTCTTAGAGCGATCTCCAACAGAAGAATCATTCCAACAAAATCTATTCGCTTAATGATGTTCAGCCTCATTCCCTCTGACATTTTTTTTCTTTCCTGGCCTTCCAAAGGGCCTGTAAGACTTGGAAAATTAATGGGCCTTATTTTATTACGTGTGGTCCTTGTTCTATATAAGTTACACTATTTAAACTTGAACCTGTCCTACTATATTTTACAGATTTTAAAGTTGGGTGAATAGATAAATTCGTGCATTTCCCAGGGGATTTATTCTGAAGCGAATGCATCGGTTAGAATAATTTCGAAAAGGAAGATATTTATTCAAACACCTACATCTATCTATCTATCTATCTATCTATCTATCTATCTATCTACAAGAATACGTATGTAGATAGAAATGAAACAAGAATTCGTATATTTGTTCATTTTGCGCTTAACACATACTGACTATTGGCGTTGTAAAATAATACTAGAGTAACGTGTATCATTAATACTTTGTATACACACACATGAACACACACACACACATATATATTAATAAATATGTATATTCAAACAGGTTATTTATTTGTCTGTTTCTCTGTCTGTTTATTGATGTATCCTGTAATATATTCAACAGGGAACGAGGCTTGAATAATGAATGTCATGATGAATGTAATCTCAGAATATTTAACTGCTACTTTTCACCGATTATCAGCTTGTGAATCACATATCTTTAGTTACAGGCTTGCAGACAATTCCACTGTGGTGACGTTAGACATGATAAATATGACCAGTAAATTATACCTTTACTCACACACAGACACACACACACACACACACATATATATATATATATATATAAAGATAAAATAAATAGGAAATATTTATCAATCTAACATATTTCACTTTTATTAAAGCTTCATCGGAGAATGAGATACGGAGAAAAAGAATAAAGAAATTCTCTTATGTTTACTTTTGTGTTTGATTTTCATTGGTTAATCATATTTCACAAGCATTCGGCTTGTTAAAGAAACGCTGGTATAATTTGTGGCGTCTCGAATTCAAGGAAAGACAAAACGTTCATTCAAAGTTCTAAGAAATTAATGGATTCCATGCCTAACTGAAAAAAATTAAATATTACTTTATGTATGTATGTGCATAATAATTCTAGTTTGTCTATGTAAGATTCAGATAGTAATGTATATTCGTAAGTGTTAGTGTGTCTATTAGACATTTTGTTTGTTAGTTTTTCACACGCTGATTTGGGAAATTTTTCATACCGTTCATTTTAGATAAATATACTTAGAATCCTTAAACTTTGGTGATGTTTATATATATATATATATATATATATATATATATATATATATATATATATATATATATATATATGCATTTTCATAGTAAAATCATTTCAATGCATTTTCATAGTAAAAATCATTTTCAAGAATCCAGGTGGAATTCAATGTCCAGGACAGAGTAAGAATATAATAAAATTTTTGAATTTGTAGGTCTGATGAATTTGATCGTAATTACGATAGTTTAGCTGATTTTACTAACCAACCACTTTTGCATTATTTAATATCGAATTTCGTATGTAGTATTTAGAGAATATTGAACTTACTACCCAATAATACTGGCTACCTCGCATATATATATATATATATATATATATATATATATGTATGTATATATATATGAAAATAGAGTTGTACAATTTGTTTGCTAAAACAGCATATCAAATCCTTATTGTTCATTAAATACGGGAATTTAATTTTCTTGGAAGCATTAGTAATTTCATTTACAAAAATGTATAGCTGCTAATTTTACTGGTATTTTACTAGAAAAACGTATTTTTTTACTTTCATAGTGTTTTGACCCAGTTTTGGGGAGTTAACTATTTGTCTATAGTTGAGACCCTAACAAGTGTTGCCTCTCGGGTCAGAGTGGACCTGGGAACAACAACAGGTAAGATGTGGTTCCTCACTTCTCAAAACCTCCTGATCAGAGGCCTCGCTGCCAGATGTAGTTTATTGTTATACAGAGGACATGAGTTGTACAATAGTTACGACCAGAAATAATCACTTTTTCAATTTTTCTCTCATATCATTAAGTTAATCAATCCAGATAACGAAATTGTAAAAAAAAAAAAAAAAAAAAAAAATTGAATTTCATAAAAGTTAATAGAAAAGTCCAGTTTGCTATGGAAATTAATTTTAAATTGATCCCTCTACGCAAGCGAAAAACAAATATGCCCACACAATGTGCTTTCTTAAAATGTTAAATAATGATAAAAAAAATAATTTTTAAAGTTGTAATCTGGATATATGAAAAAAATAACTCGAATTTAGGAATTTCTATTTTTTAATATTTTACGAAATCACGTCGTATGACTCTGTGACCCAGTGGAGTAATAGATAGCGTCTGGGACTGAGAAATCGGAGAGCCGAATCTATTACATTCATTTACGTGCTAATACTCTTGGAAAAGGTATGACACCTCTTCTTCTCTCACCAGCTATGGGTAAAATAGCAAGACAGACCGGGTTCTATAGCCTTGGATGGCAACTGGTATACAGAAAAAATCTGCCTCATCGGTCATGTATCGAAAGATACATGATCACCTCAACGTGTATCACGTATGGTACATAACTAAGAATGTAAAAGTCATTTACGTAGGAAATTTGACCACTATTAACTTTTATAAAATTTTACGTTATTTTTTTTTTTAGATATTAGTAATCCGAAATGCTTAATTTATTGTAATATGAATAAAATTGAAATAAAGGATTATTATTTTTGTACACATCTACCGAAAGAATTTTTAAAGAATTTCTGAAAGCGACAGTATGGAAAAGAATATTGTATTCGTTAAAAAAAATAGAAAGTTTGACTTGTCAGATTACACACTACAGAAGGGTGTATGGTATTTTTTGTTATTAATAAACAGTGTTTATGTCCACAATATAAGTTCGAGTGAGAGTTTTCATTGTTTGAACTCAGAAAGAAAAATGTCTGAACCGTTTTTTTTTTTTTTTTTACCATTTAGTGTCGAATGCTAACATCCTATATTTATAAGTGTCATTTCAAACGCATGAAAGACATACTTTTTTTCATAAAAATCTTT